TAGTCTACATCAGTTTGACCATGGGGTAAAATTTCTTCCTGACCCCAAATATGGCAATTTGGTTTGACCCTGAGGAAAGGGGTAAGACCACCTAGCCAGAAACCTGTGGCTTTGGTTCCAGCAGGAGCATTGGCCCACCCCAGTCAAAGTCCCCAGCTTTGGCTGTAGCCAATACCCAATGCCTCTGAGGAATGCTTAAAAACATGCTGACACATGTAGCAGAAATCTGGGGAGGTGGGAGGGACAGGGGCAACCAGTTATGCCCAGAAGCATGGAAAGTATCCATAGTAGAACATAGGCTTAGATCATCTCTGACCAATGGCCAACCTTTTTCCTTCCCCCACCTACTGCTGCTGGTGTCCCTGCTGTTTCCTGTTTCCAGGAGCTTGTGTCTTGCTCCAAATGGACTGCACAGGACAGGCAGATTCCCCCTCTCCACACCTGCTCCCAGGCTGCCCAGACAGCTGGGGGGAACAGGCATGGGAAGGGGGAATTCGCCCACCACTGCTGTCTGTGCCCTAGGCTGAGACCAGCTCCTTTGCAGCCTAGCTGGAGCTGGACATGAGCTTCCCCAGAACTGTGGGGACACTGACAGTGGAAGGCAAAACTTTCTTTTGAGCTAAAGTAAATTGAGCGGCTTTCATCTCTCACTACCAGGCAGGTTTTCCAGACCACAAATCAGTCTCGCAGCAGTTTTCTGAACCCTTTTCAGCTTTTTCAATGCGCGTTTTGAAGCAGGGACACCATTTTGTCTTCAGCTTGTACTAGGATACAGAGAAAAGAGTGAAGCCGTTAATGTTTTCTGCCTCTAAAGCTGGAACTACCTAGAAACCAATTAGACGCTGTACTTTCACTGAAAGAATTTAGGTTCTTGAAAAAGACCTATGAAATCTCCCATATCTAGATATGTCAAGGGAACTGTTACTGCCATTCCAGGACACTAGCGGAAATCATATCATCCATCATTTGACTCTTGCAGAATATATTTAAATCATTCTTGTATGTCTGCTAATAACATTACATTCAAAGGTGGTGGCTGCTGCTGCTGATAGTTTTTCTCTTTTCAGTCATATAGGGCCACATTCTGTCACCCTTGCTTCGCATTGAGTAGTACTGTTTTCTACATATAGTCCCACTGAAATAAGGTACTTACAGGATAAAGTGTTACCCAGCCTCAGAATGGGTAGAAGAATCTGACATATAATGACCTTCATAGATGCGGATAGATAGGAAGAAAAGGACAGATTCCCCAGGGAATTATATTTGACTAAACAGCACTGGTCAGTGGGTGGAAGGAAGAATGATGCAGCAAGTATAGTTGGTTATGCAGTATTGCTCTGGGCTTTACTGCTGTCTTTATAATAATTCTTAGACCATCAACTGCCACTGCAAGCAACACAGCAGTGCTTCTCTTGTTTTATACTCTACACTATTTTCAGAGGAAAAAGTTTCTGGAAAGTATTGTACAGGAAGTCCTCAACTTACATTTCCAGTTACAATGTTTCACACTTACAAGTTTATAAATTGACAACCTGTTTCAACTTTCTGACATCAGTTTCATCAGTTTCTGACGTCAACTTTACAACGCTTGATCCGATGCCACGCCATGCCAGTGAACAAGTTTGCTGTGTTGCCCATCTCTCTGAAGAACATCTGTTCAAACTTCCTTGAACACTTTCTTTAAGAAAGCAGACAAGACTCCAGCAAAATCTGCAGCCAAGACTGCTGAGAAGACTTCAGCCAAGAACCCTTCAAAAAATCCAACCAGGAGGCCTTCAAAAAGTCCAGCAAAGTCACCTCAGAGAAGTCCTTCCAAATCAATATGATTGCTATTTACAATATAAATACATTAACATAGCTATATTACTCATTTATAGTTGATTGTGTACAAAATTCTCGGTTATTTTTAGTGAAAATAGGGTATTGGTACCTGGTTCAGGAATCAATCCCCCATTAATAACATTGTTTCCTATGGGAAAATTGGTTCTGAGTTGCAATGTTTTGACTAAAGATGTGGTTTTCAGGAACCAATTGTGTCGTAAGTCCAAGGACTGCTTGTAATTCCTAGTTAGTAAATACTATTCCTTCTAGATGAGGTTGCACTAATACAGGGCTGTCCAACTTCTAAGTGGTTGGGGCCACAGGCCCCTCAACCACACATAGCATGGGCTTTTCTGTAGAGAGCCATCTACCACACCACAGCTCCCCCTCCACCTAGCTGCATTGTGCCATGAAGCAGGAAACCTCTGCCATACTATGCAGGACTCCCAAAGGCTTCCATGGGCTCCCTCAGCCTTGTCGGCTACACTAGTCTGCCCAAATGGTCAAGGGCAGGGTCAGAAAGCAGAAGCTGGAGGATGGAGTGGGAGCCCAGAGACTCTGGTGGCAGCAGCAGGAGAACAATGAGGACTGACTCTAGGACTGGGAGCCCAGGGGCTAGAGGTTAACCCCTCAAGGGCTGCATGCAGCCCCCAGACAGCTAGTTGGACAGTCCTGCACTAATAGATGAGGCAAGGCTAAAAAGTCCTCTTCATTATCATCTGTGATCTCCAGTTTCCCCTTTTCATCCATTTATAAACAATTTTCCCCATAAAACAAACAGAGGAAATATTTGAACACAAAATAGTTTCCACATGGTATGAAGTTATGTGTCTGGCAACTCTACAGATGCAAACAAATACTGTTCTTATATTCCTGGGCACCTCTGACAGACGTTTTTAACTTTTGTTTCATACCCTGATCCCAAGCTATGATCTTGTCGCTGGCACCTCATCTCCTTCAGACTCCTTTAATCAATTTCCTGCAGTACTACAAGCACCAGTATCTTATAGTCTGTATGCTAGAGTTGCAGTTGTTCAACCTATTTCATCAGATTGTTACATCAGCCCCATGGGTTTCATTAGGCAGCACAGGTTGTAAGCCTTTTCAAGAGCCAGCTAGACAAAACCTTAGTTGGGGATGGTCCTACTTTAAGCAGGAGGTTCGACTCAATGACCTCCTGAGGTCTCTTCCCACCAGAGATGACCCAAGCAGGGTACAGGGCCTGGGACAAATCAGCCTGTGCAGGGCCAAGCCCCTGGATGCAAGGAAGCCAGCAGAGGATTTGATGGCGAGGGGGGGACGGGTGCCAAGCACCCAGACATGAAGCTGGCAGCAGCACGGAGTCGCCACGGTCACCCCAATTCACCCCCTCCCCAAGGACAGCCCTGCTTCCCAACCTTAATTTTCTATGATTTCTATAATTCTAATTGCAAGGAGCTGATCTAGTTTTCACATCAGTGGCTGATCTCCTATGTACTACTAACTTGGCTGTGACTTAAGGATATATTTTATTCCTCTGGATTTTGAGAGTCTAAGCATATGCTTTGTTTGCTCAAGCTTTCTTCTTTTGTAGTTTAACAGATATACTATTACTACTGGTACTGTACGAACATGAAAGTTGAGGGTCAAACCTTCAAAGTGGTATCCACTACTTTCTCATACCTGCACTAATTGCCAGAATTTTTGTGGATTACATTAATATATGACCCAAATGGTAGGTGCTACCATAAATAAAGATACAGCAGTAATTTTATCCTCCTCCTCATCTCATTACTTAAAAATATGCCAGATTGTTAATGGGGAAAGTCACTGCATTTTGAATTGTGTTCTGAAAACAAGCTGTGCTCCATAAATACTCCTGTGGTGAAGAATTTTACTGCAAGGGCCATTTGTAGAGAATATTCTGACTCGAGGCCTGGAGAACTTTGCCCTAGACTCCATCAACTGCAATATTACTGGAAAGTAAGCTTGTCTCAGTGGTTTCAGACTGGGAAGCAGTCTAAGGCTGCTAGGGTTCAATTTGTTAAGGGCTTTGGAGATCTGGTAATAGGATAGCAAATTAGATCCAGAGGCAAATGCAAATACAACAGTGTGTGCAGGTCACTAACATGAGCGGTAAGTACAGACAGTCAAAAAGCCTCAGGCTGAATTGATTCAGTCTCCTCAGGTTAGTCTAAACTGGATAAATTGAACTGATAAGCAAGTGAATAGACATTCACATTTGATTCTGGAAATACAGCCACATGCCTGCAGTGGCCCAAGCCAGAAGCTGGGGGTGCTAGAGCATGCCTCCCTGCTCAGCTAAAGCAGACAGTTTGGGCCCAAGCTAGCCCATCTACCCTGAGAAAGGAGTCTATGAGGAAGGTGCAAAGCATCCTTGGGTGCTGGGAGACTGTGAGTTAACTTGAATTTGGAGGAAATCTGGGACAGAAGTTCTATAAACTGATTTAACCTAAATCAGTTAAGTCTGATACTACATCCATCCAGGTTTATCTTAAACCAGTTTCAGCCATTTTGAAAGCAGTTTATGTGCACTGAACTTCTGTTGTGTTACAGATTTGAATTGGTTTCTGATCACTTATACCAGTTTATATGTTACTTCTGTCCCTAGCCAAGGTGTATCTAATGGCCTTTCTTGCTCGTGGTATATTGCATGACCTGGAATTTGGCCTTCACTTTTATCCCTGGTGAGAAATTGTGTTGAATATGGCAACAATAAGGTGATGCTCTTTGTCTGGGAGTAAAGGGTTGGCATTATCTTACTCACAATAAACTTTAAAACATTTCCAGCTGAAGCCTTTCATTATATCTCTGTGCCAGCTTGACACATGTGAATGGTGCAAACAAGAAAGCTTATTTTGATTTTCACTCAAAATAAACATCTTTTGAAAAGTTGCTCAAATGTGTGATTTTTTCCCTTGAGTGTATGCCTTTCAAATGATAAACTTCCTATATATGTTTTATGCAAATTCTTACTGTATCAATAATTGAACTCATCTGGTATGAACATGAGTGCCCAAATACACAATGTGTACTAAGTGCTTTAAATAGTAATTACTCCAGTAAAGTCACTGGAAGCCCTTAAAAGGATTTGACAGTTTCTCCACTCTCTTTCAGTGAATGTAGTAGCCATGCTATGCAGTTCTACATCCACTGATAACTCAGCAGCTGAGGAACTCAGTAAAGCCTGCTCCAAACTTCTCAGCTGTTGACAGGCTTGACTTGCTGAGAACACTGGTTAAATATAGCACAAGTGAGCTGAGCTCAACAGTCATTGCTGTAACAGTGTGTGAAGAGACCAGAAGAGGGGAAATACAATCTGAGAACTAAACTGCCAAAGCCTAACACCACCTAGCAACAGTTGAAAAAACTTTTAAACAAAGTCTGAGTGAAACACAGAGAGAGCATACCTCTTATTTCTCCTGACTGGGATTTCTCTGGGAAGAAACTACGTTCCTCTTCTGCTCTCTACCCTATTTCCTGCATTACTTCAGCTGCTGGTAGACCTTGAAAAGTGGAAAAAGCTTATCTCTGGTTCTTTTGGGCTGGATGTGAAAACTGGCTGGGAACTGTGTAGTACTGTGGGGCAAGTTACTGTGATCTTCTAGGAGTAAACTGTCACTATAAAGGATATAATCCAAGGTACTTACTGCTGTCAGGTAAGACTGAATGATCTACTCCAAATGTGTTCTTTTTGCAAGAAGTGATTTTCTTTGCTGGTCAATGTGGTTGGTGCTTCTTTTTTCCTTCTGTGATTTATCTTCTGCATTATATGAGAACTTCAGTAAAGAAAAGCTAGAATAAAAGAAAAAGGCTGAAGTATATTCTGTTACCTTTTTAGCAGAGGAAAAATATTGCTCAAACCATTTTGCAGCATGTACAATAAGATTACTAATAGTAGTTGGTAATCCAACGGAAAAAAGACTAGGAGATTCATAAAACCTCATTAGCATTGTCACAGTCTGATAAAAGAGACACCAAGATTTAATAACAAAATGGGTAACATTCAAACAGCTCTGGATTTGTAGCGAGTATTCAAACAGCTATAAAAAAAACTGATAACAGTTTGTCTGGTACATCAGAGGAAATAGCTATACAGTGACTGCATTATTTGTGTACTTTGTGACCTAATTGCTTGCTTCCTTTGTGTTTGTAGCATAACTTTAAGCACTTTGGTACACCTGGTACATTTTGTTCTGCTCCTTCTACAACAGCCTTCAGTTCTTTTGCTTGTATAGTTTGTATGAAACTACATTTTTTTAATGGATTTGCTGTAGAACATCAGCTTCCTAAGGGATGTCATTATGTTTATTATATTTAAGTGTTGTCAGAATATCAATAACTGTCTCTTTTAAAAAGGGGGAAAAAAATCAAAAGACAATTTTTAAATATTCTCCCCCAACAATCCACACAGTAGAAAATGTTATCTCTTTGAAAAGAATCTCTTTTGGCTTCATTAGCTGCCATGCAATTTAAGCAGGACTTGTTTAGCATACTTAGTTTAGTTTATGCCAAAACTGACAAAAGCTTTTTGGTCAGATGGAGAAATAATTGTTGCTGCCTCCCACCCTCCTAAGACATCTTTATTTTATATAAAATGTACATACCCATAAATAATAATAAATTGTGTGGTGTTTACAAATACTTTTCTCTTTATGATATCAATAAATAGATGAAGGCAAAGATTGGGAGGGCGGCAATAGGAATTCACAGTGTCTACAGTGAAAAAAATTTGCTTAAGACTAGTAATGAACTAACTGAGTCACCTTGTTTGATGCCCAGTGTCTAGACTTAGTGAGAGTTGCAGGAAGACTAGTATTTCTTGATTTTAAGTAAAAGCATACTGGATTCATCCCTACATACTAGATAAGTTACATCAGTGCCATAATTTAACTGTGACATGTTTACAAATTGGAAAAAAGTAACAATACTCTGAAAGAGCTCTGACTTGGCAGTGCCAGGAGATGTAACTGTCCACAAACAAGTGGAAGAGACAAAATACTGGAAATGGGAATAATTTGGAAAAGGCATTTAAAAAAATTGCATTTTTAGAAATATATTTTCTAAAAGAGGGCATATTACTTAGGACTGCACTTAACAGAAACTGTTTTGCATAGGCTGGTGATTAGTGATGTCATAAGTTAATATTATAATTATTACACCATTACCATCATATCTTTTGAGATCTTGAGTAGGAACTCAACTTCTTTTCTTAATATATACATGTCTTGAGAAAGTCGGTTGTTTTTTGGAAAAATGTATAGGGTGGAAAACAAAGAGTGCAGCGGTTCATTGTGTAATATTTATCTGGTCCCTCTGATGCGAGAGGAGAATTTACTTTACCCTTTCCTTCCCTGAAAATGTTGACAGAAAATGTGCTAAAAGTGGTTGCGAAGAAATGGCAAATACATGAATAACAATAAAACCTGGGGGAGGGGGTAGAGGGAAAGGGGGAAGTATACCACACTAGGTTTTTTGCTGCTTTAAAATTTTTTTTGTCATGTACCATAGTACTGATACATTGTATTCTACTTTTTCTCCAAAATCTCCTTTTAGCAACTTGATTTAAAAAATAAAAATGCATTTTAGTCATTTCATTTGACCACATGTGAAGTGACTTTCAAATGGCTTGATGACAGCCTCCATCTAAGTTGTGACTTTCTACATCTATCTTCCTTCCCTTTCCACTTTATAATGGACAGGCAAGCTAAAATTATCCTTCTCAACAGGTGTCCACAAAGAAGCTCTCGGATTTTCCAATCAAATCTATGAATTATGTAACATGGTCATTCAACAGATGGTTTCACTTCTGAAGAATAGTCAAAGCTATTAACAATCAGAATGAAACTAAGTTCAATTTTATATTAAATCAAAAAGTAATTTAGTTTGTAGCAGTATTTTCCTTATACATATTCTCTAAGGAGACATGGATATAAGCATGACCATTTGTTTTCTCAGTTATCTTTTTAAAAATATTTATATTACAGGGTCCTTATTTGAGCCACTATAGTTCATGACCTTTGGGATATAAGTGATGTTGTCATTGGTGCTGAAAACCATGTTGGACCTCTTTCCTTCCCTGTCATTGCTAAAACCCTAGTTCATGACTCAGTTTTATCATTTTATCTATACAAACTTTCTTTTTATAACATCCTGTCTTCAATGAATCTAAAATTGGAAATCTTTGTTTTAGCTGGCTATTCTGACATTGCCTCTCTCCTTCGACCACACTGTAGGATCTCTGTTTCTTTTCACACCAAGTTCAAAGACCTTGAATTCATCTTCAAAGCTCAACATAGTTCTTCGCCTGGCTACATTGGTTGTCATTTTCTCTCATCCTCTTTGTATCCTGTGTGGGTCATTAATCTCATCTTTGGTATTATCTGGTCCGTCTTTTACGCCAGAGGCTATATTAAAATAGTAATCTAATCTGGCAAGTTTTGAGTCTTCTACAGAACACATCAGTGTAGAAGCCAAGGCTCTCATTCTGCAAGGATTAAACCATAGATAACAGACTTCTACCACACTAGCTATGTCTATCAGAGATGAGATCCCTGACCAGTATAGTTGTGCTGACAGGAGCCCATAGCATAAACACAGTTATGCTGAAAAACTATTCTTTTACCAATATAACTTGTTTTGCTTAGGGAGAAGTGAGGATGGAGAGTTTATTGTACTAAACCAAGTGCAACTTTGTCAGTATAGCTGTTTCAACACTATACCAGTATTCCTGTACCGGCAAAAGACTACTAATGTAAATACAGACTTAACTGTAAAATTGCTGGTATTATTTAACTCAATTGAGATACTCAAAGGCTTAAATTAAGCACATAAAATCCTATGCTAAATCAGAGGGCAGTCCTATGCCTGTGAAGCCAATGAAAGTAGGCCTACTGGCTGCATAATTAACACACAACTATCCATTCATCTACCAGAATATTAAACGAAAATAGATTTGTATTTTTTTCAAATAAAACTTCTCTTGGGAAAAGATTACCTTTCCTCTAATTTCCTGTTTTCCCCCTTTCTTTCTCATGCTAATTAAAACTTGTAGACTCTCTTTGGGGCAAGAGGTTTGTCTTTCTACATGTCTAAAACACCATTCACAGCAACAAATACAGACACACTATGAAACACCACCACAAGGGAGTGATTTTACTTAAATGAAAAATATTTTCTATTTCATTAGCAATATTTTGTATCTCTAAAACTAGGATAAAAATGAAAAACTAGAAACAGATAATTAGTTATATGATGATACAATTTCACTTTGTTTTTAGAAATATTCTTAGAACATTTTTAACCTTCCTTTTATATGAAGCATAAATTCAGGTAGTTTTCAGTTCCATAAAGCTATTCTTGATGTGTTAACAAGGATATTTTCCATGGGGATATTTCCTTTGATCTGTTTCTCACTGTCTTCTACTGAAAATATTTTCCCTCTTCTATATGTATTTTTGACACACTTCTGAGACTGCTCATTGCATAAAACTAACAGTAGAATACACTGATTTTTCAGAATCCAATGTGGAGTGCAATGTGTGCTGGGTATGTTTGTGAGACAACTGGATTGGAAACCAGTTATTTGGTAAAGGATTAGTTTTTCTCTCAGTCAGCAGCTGGTCTGCTTACAGGGCTAGAGATGCTAAAAAATAAACCATTATTAATAACATTTGATGTTTACAGCAGCTGTGTGTGAATGGTGGTAGAGTTTTTGTATGAAATATATAAAGACATGTTGCTACTTCAGCATATGCAAGGGGACTTTTCTATTCATTTTACTGGAAGCAGAAATGAGCCCAGTAACGGTAACAGAAGACTCTAAGTGGGAATCCAGTTCCCCATGGAAAGCATAAATTATTATATCAAGCATTTTTCACACTCCTCTCCCACCCCCAAATACTTTGTACTTTGACTTGTGTTATATTTGTTACCAGGTTTGCAAAACAAAACAGTCAAATAAATGCATGCAGAAAGCCTTACTAATTGGGAATGAAGGTTTTTTTCCATTTAGGACATTTTATCTTTTAAGCGGTCACTGCTTTGGTTGGAACACCTCTTCAAATCTTTTCCAGAAAATGTAAAACCACAAGCGCTAGATCCAATGATGACTTGCAGAATTATAGAGGTTGCAGTAGCCATCAAAGTTGGCTAGGTACTTTCCAAACACAGATGGGACAGTTCTGGTACTGAGGAGTATACAGCCTAAAGCACTACCATAATACCATTTAATGCTGTTTTTGGCAGCATTTCTACAATACTACAATACTTTGTAA